AGGTTTATAATGGTGCTCTTTACCTGCAACTGACCTTCTCCTTGTGTAACTTTTTTGGCTGGATCTGTGACTCAGCCTGTTAGACACCATAGCCTAATGTCAATAAATGCTGGAGGGATCAACACTTACACCTCAGCCACGACATTACAAACCAAAGTTGGCTCTCAGACATAAAATTGCTCTGGCCAAGAATCTGTAGTGCTTTCCTCTTCATGTACCAAGTATCACACAAGACAGGAAGACAAACAGAGGAGCCAATGAAGCAAAACATTAGCCCAGCTCTTAGACTGGCAGGAGAGCTTGAACATAGCGAGACTTCCCCTTGCTCCCCCCACCCCAAGGTTCCCACAGCTGTTCAACATTGCTGTGTGGTGCTCCTGCCAAACAGGTGTCTCTGCCTCCCTGAGGGCTGGTAACAAATGACTATTTGAGTTCAGTTTGTGCAATGGAAACTGTTTCCATTACAAGTGTAAGTGAAATCTATCCAAGCAACAGATTCTGGGATCCCAAAGCCCACATGTTTTCATAACCTATACTGACATAGCATTAGCCTTTCCACCGAGTCGGTCAGGTCAATGATTTCTTTGTTCCTCAGCTCATGAAACACAAGTTGGCAAACACCACCTTCGCTAAGGCAGGTACCCCTCTAAACCCCCCCCCCGGTTTAGCAGCTTGAACCCAGGTCTGCTCAGAGCTTTAAGTTTAAGAGATTATTAGCGCAAGAAAACCACTGCAAGAAGCTTACACACACATTCCTTCCTTATGCATAATTTAAATACTGTCAACACTTCTTTCTTTGCAGTCTAGTAATTCCTACATTAATCATTCTGCAAATCAGTTTGGTACTGAACAGAAGAATTGCATCATATTGTAACAATTTGACCATCCTAAGCTGAGGCTGCCAGAGGTTGATTAATTAACTGCACACTGTGACAGTTTAAAATGACCTGGTGTTTTAAGTTGATTATGCACGATCAGAACACTTACAGCTTTCCAATACATTCCTCACGTATGAGACGACCAGGAAAGCTAGCTTGAGCTATGCTTCAGACTAAGCCTCATGTCAAATGTTCCTTTAGTACATGTTTAGGAACCAAGTCTGTGTGTTAGATGAGTCAGCATCTCACTACATGACAGTTTTGACATTTTCTAGAGACACTGGTATACCTCTTAATCGCAAGGTACATCACATAGCTCTATCCATCCTTGAAAGAAGGCTCACTGAAGGGGAACTGACAAGCAGGTGCCTGTAGAGATGGATATGGACTGTCTACCTACAGAGACCAGACCAGCAGAATTTAGTAAGAACAGACTCTTGAACACTTGATTAAACTACAGTTCAAGTCATGCTATCTGCATTTAGGTTATACTGACTAGTAATCAGTTTTCCTTATTTAAACAAGCAGTTATCTATACCACATATACTCAGTGTTTTCTGTAACAGCTGACAGTAGTTTACTGAGGTGTTAAAATTAACACTGCATTTGAACCCTGCTCTAGCACTAGTACAGTCTACTTAATCTTGCAGCTTGGATATCTAGCTTAATGAGCCATATATAGGTATGGTTTTGCTCCTGTGTGACCTGACTTAAGCTTTGTTATTCCATTCAAAAAATTGAGTGGCTGTGCAAGCAATGCTTCATTTAAGAGGCATTGAGCTCAAATTCCCAGAATTATTCTAGGACCTTCTCCTAGACAGACTTTTACAGTCTTTCCCCAGATTAAAACTAACACTCAACTCAATACTTAAAAGCTTCTTTATTTTACTCTTAGACTTAGGCTTTAAGGACACCTTAAAAAATCAGTTACATAACAAAGATTGATATTGCAAAAAAAGTGGAGGTGCAGTTTCAAAAAACCCCATAGTGTCTTCAAATATAAAAATATATATCCAAATTATTATCTAGGAAAAGTGTACCACCATTTCCGCCTTAAGCTGGCCCTGCCAGCTTTTGGGTCATAACTCCCCACTACAGAGCTCAAGAGCTCATGAGCTCATATTGGAAGGAGCATCTCCGAGGTTCATGTCACAGGCATGGTTCATAGCAAACTGCTTCACGGCAGCACATGGACCCAACCTTAAGTTTTTTGAAGGCATTCCATAGTTTTCCCTTGAGCAGTGGGTAAAAAGCATCCAAACATCTCCTGGGAAGCATATGTCATATACACAAAGCCATCTTCGTCTTTGTAGTCCCTGTACACTTCTGCCATTGTCAAGGACATACTGGCTAGGCTTTTGTTGTTCACCAGCAGGTAGAAAGCTTGTGTAGCAGTTAGAGCCATCCTGCTTCTAATTGAAGAAGGGGGGAGAAAGAGGATTAAGCATTAGCAAATTTAGGAAGGTTTCAACTTCAGTCTATGAAATACATTAAGCAGAGCAGTTGCATGGACTATGTACAAGAAATGCTGTGTAGAGTCATTATGTGGTTTAACGTCTTCATCAG